CTGGTTTTGAGGCAAGCGGCTCTGGTGACTCTCTCCTCCATGGACGCGGTGCGCATGGAGCGGGACATCTTCAGCTCCAGCGCGGCCATCAGCGCATGCGCGGGCGCGGCCAAGTGGGAGGCGGGTTTGGCGCTGTTGGCGGCCCTGCAGCAGCAGGCTCGGTCTGGGGGTCTGGGGGTCTGGCGCGCGGGTGTCACAAACTCGTGGGTCTGGGCCTTTGTCCTGTCCCAGTGTGGGGATTGATTTTCCCCGATCGATCGGGCGGGGGGTCAGGGGGGGAGGCGGAATGCACGGTTTCAGGAGCTGAGTCCAGTGGTGATCACCTACAACAGCGTGATCACTGCATGCGGCAACGCCAGCCACTCGTTCTCCAAAAAAAAGAAGAGTATGAGACGAATGGTGTGGAACAGCCTGCCCCGGACGAGACGGCTGGTGAGGTGCTGCGGCAGAGTCTGACTGTGACGCTTCATGGAGCCTGACTGGGGGGGGGGGTCTCCTGGTGTGGATCAAGATCCTCAGAAAGGGTCCCTTTCTCTTTTTTTTTGGATAGGTCGCATTTTAGTACGGGTGCCTACCTTGCAAGTAGATACAAGCAGTTGCCAGCTTTGGAGTGAGGCCAGTGGGTGGCTGCCTTGTCACTGCTGCAGCGCATGCCGATGTCACTGGCCGACGACACCACCTTCCATGCCGCCAGCTACGCGTGCGGCGAGGCCGGGCATTGGGTTGAGGCCCTACAGCTGCTGGAGGAGATGCAATCCAGGCGGGTGGGTTTCAGGCACACGGGCTCCTGCATTTTTGTTTGGGTGGTGAGCGGTTCCACCGAAGGGGTAGAACGAGCTCATCATGTAGGCCTGGTACGTACCTGGTGATCCCTTATCTCACTTTGCTGTAATTGGTTTTCAACGAGCCAGGCGGTTTGGGAGGTTGCCACGCAAAGGACACCCCCGGGCCAACTTGAGTAGCCTCCTGGAACCCCCGGAAACGAATATTTTGTTTGTTTCGTTCCATGGACCCCTCAACATGCTCCAAAATAATCGGTTTGGAAAGGGCCTGTTAGTTGGTCGGCTCCGTTCATTTCTCGGTGGGCTGTAAAAATGAAGACGGGCTTTTTTTGGCTAATTACCATCACAAGGGAAGGCTTGGATGCGCTTAAAGTGGAGTTCACCTGTTCTTCCCCCGGTTAGTTCTTTCTTCAGTAGTCTTTTGGTACTCTATAACATCCTGCAGGGGTGGATCCACAGATTCACCACTCCAAAACCGGTTTCCACCAAGGGAGTCCCACAAAGGCAGCTGCGTGCGAGCACAGTGACACTGAACACCGCCATCACCAGCTGCCGCTGGGACTTAGCGCTGCACCTGCTGCGGGCCACGCCGCACCTCGCAGCGCCTCGGTGAGGTTTGCCCGGCGTTCGCCGGGTAGGAAGAAAACCCATGGCTGTGGGTGAAAACCGTTTTGGTACCATTTTGGGGTAGGTGATAACCCATTGTTGTCATTTTCAGTAGGGATCCTTATGTGGATCAACAAAATCCTCCACCACCTAAGAAACCCTGGCCTCTCAGAATTCCCCCTGCAAAAAACCAACGAATGTTGTGGCTTCAACCATGGTTTCGCGACCATCCGCAGTCTTTTGAAACCCCTGCAGGTTGGTTTCTTTTGGCTGTGGGTCAAAACCAATGGGATACCATTTTGGGGTATATCACCCATGTTTAAACCTATTTTAGTGGTTGGATTGGGATGTTCACTGGGGGTGCGATTTGGATTTTGACGCACAGCCACATCGCGTGGGTTCGGAGTTTGTGGGTGGTTCCAAGCCAAACTGTACCAGCCGTTCGCATTCCTTGTGGTTTATTTGTTTTTTTGATGGGGGGCTATGCAAACCTTCGAAAGGACAAGCCCGGATCGGGATCTTAGCCGGAGGCAACGCTTTTTGAGGGAGCTGCGATTCGCACTGCGAATCAGCATTGTCAAAATTAGTCGGTGCTTTGAGGCAGCTGAGGATGATTTCTTGTTTTTTGACACTGGCACAGTAGCACGATGCCCGAAGTGCGGATAACCCCGTCTTCCTGTGTTGGTCCTTCTTTAGTTATCTTTTGGTATTCTTCAGTATTCTGGAGGAATCCACAAAAGCCACATCCAAATCGGCTAGAACAAAGGGAGTGGCGGGCGCATTGGTCCTTGGCCGCACGCCGAGAAGGACCCCACTATATCATCCTTGGCAAAAGGCTCGTTGAAATCACAGATTGCTGGGGTCCCCTAAAATGCACATTTTCAGGGACCCCCCAAAATTGCAATTATCCATCCTCTTTGAGTCTTGTGGGACCACAAGGGTGTTTTCAGAGCGGAGCATCTCGCACTCACGCATTGGGCGTGGATTGCAATTATCCATCTTCTTTTGGGGCAGTCTAAGGCGATTGTATGACTTTCCCCATCGAAGCTTTCAGTTTGAGGCGATTGGGGGACAGCGGGGCCTCCCTGCCCCCCGGAAAGGTGAACTTGTAAGAAGGCTCCTGGCCTTTGGTTGTGGAAGGCTTTGATATCACAGAACCATGGCCTTCTCCACATGGGCGCCTCTCTCTGTTTTTGCGGGGAAACCAAAAAGAAAGGTGTGTCTGTCCCTTGGGTTTTCTTCAGAGCACAACAAAAAGGCACCCAGGTGGGATTAGAGGGGAACCCCAAGGACCACCACCCATCTTTGAGAACTCCGAATCCTTATGTGGATCAACAAAATCCTCCACCACCTAAGAAACCCTGGCCTCTCGTAATTCCCCCTGCAAATACCAGCGAATGTTGTGGTCTCATCCATGGTTTCGCAACCATCCGCAGTCATTTGAACCCCCTTGTTGGTTTCATTTGACTGTGGGTCAAAACCGATGGCACCATTTTGGGGTAGGTGCACCACCGGGTTATCAAAGTCAGACAATTTCGGTTGTTTCCCTGTAAGTTACCACGTGGGGAGCGACTTTGACAAAATTTTGACCCATGGCCATTTCCCCCCGCGTTTTGACGTTGCTTTGGAGCGGGCTACTAGTCCCCTGTTTGTTTGACCCCCCCCCCCACACGTTGATTGCATTTCCCGCCCGTAAATATCAACAAATGTTGTTGTCTGAACCATGGTTTTGCAACCATCCGCAGTATTTTGAACCCCCTTGTTGGTTTCATTTGGCTGTGGGTCAAAACCAATGGAGTACCATTTTGGGGTAGGTGAATTCACCCATGTTTGAACCTAGTTTAGTGGTTTCATTCCCCCCCCCCGCGTTTTGTATGCATTTGTTGGTTGAGGACAGCATCAGCTTCTCTGCCGCTTGTGGTGCCTGTGGAGCTGGTCGCCAGTGGCAGTGGGCGCTGGAGTTGCTGGAGGAGGCGCTGAGAGCCTCGACGCAACGTCGGTGTGAGGTTTGCTGACAGGGGACTCATCAGAAACCAGGCTTCTTTTTTAGGGGTCGTGTAGGATTTGCTTGATTTCCCCTTCTGGATTTGAAATGGAATCGAATTCACTACTGGAAAGAGTTTCGCAATTTTTCCAGGGCGCAAAAAAGAAAATGGAAGGGTCCATTAGTCTGATGGTCGACGGAGCAGATTGCTATTGGGTTGGGTCTTTAGGCTCTAACTTTTTGGTTGAAATGAAGGGGGTTTCTGAATTGATTCCACAAGAAGCTATTTTCACTTTTTTTGAAGAGGGGTCAACTGCAAAGTGGAGGTAAGGCATGCAGATGCCATAAAGTTTTCTCACTCCCTGAGTTCCTGGACTGCTTGTTTTTGGGAAAGACCGTTTGAATTAGTTGTAAACAACAAGTGGTTAGACTTGGTTTGGCAATCCACTCAGGAAGTGAGGCTACCTCCCATCCACGCGGAACCCGACTGGGGGATCCTGGTCTGGATTGAAAAGGGACCCTCTGGTGAATTGGTCGTGACTGATGGTGGCTTGAATTGCATATCCTGCCAATAATTGGTTGCCAAATGAAGGGGCTCAGTATTGTTTACTTTTGGGAGGTGAATCCTTTCGGACCACAACTTAGACGGCAAGTTTGAGAACGTTGCTTCAATGGACCCAGACTGGACACAGTCCACTTCACACCGGGTAGAATGTGTCCACGGTGTTCGGTTAGGATTGATTTCCGCACCCTTTCACGGGATGCTGAGAAGCTGATGCACTTTGAGCAGAAAGAATGGCCCTGTGAAGCACGTCTATTGGTTGAGATTCCTGCAGTTGGTAGATCTTCAATTTACTTGTTGTGTTTGTTTGATCTCTTTGGACCATCCAACAGGATTCCTTGGCACGACTCCCAAGTTGTGGTTCCTTCCGCGCCCAATAATATTATTTTCAGTAGTCAACCTGTTCAACGTTGAGGTTTCTGAGAGGGTTTTATCATGTCCTCGGGATGCTGTTCTGCTTGGTTTCCATTCGTCACGCTCAAAGAAGGACCCGTTTTTGCTTCTGGGTTTTGCATGGAATTCGCGCGCCTGGGGTGAGGCCCAGTGTCTCACCCCTGCAACCGCACCATGGCAAACACGTGATCAAATATGCCAAGTTGTGAATTATGTTGTTCCCCATTTGCTTAAGACTAGTGTGGTTTCCCTATTGTGTTTACACAAATCGATCACTACTGGATGTATGCTTTTTCAAAACTTACGCAAATGGAGGGATTGGATGGTTTCTGGGTTGGTCTCCGGGTTGGTTTCTGGACGGCTCTGGATTCCAATATATGCACCCACCTTTGGATGCCTATGAACCGCTTATGTTTGTTATGCCGCAGGTTGCACATATGGGCGTGTATTTGCCCTGAGCCCACCCCAAAGGGTGGCCTCAAAACAAAAGATCCGATATATATCTATATATATATATACATGGGCTTCTATTTTTACACATATACCTACCTATAAATATACAAAATACCTGGATAGTATACCTACATATATTGCTATTTACACAAATACCTACCTATAAATACCACAGGAAACGACTCGTAATCAGATGATTTCTCCATCCCGGAAGCCGCTTCGCTGTTGCGGAAGGAACTCTCTTGAAGTCGGCGCAGCTATGTCCAACGCGTTGTGCTCCGATTGCAGCCTGCTTGAAATGGGCACGGTTGCTCGTTGCTCGCGCATAAGAAGCGTGTCTGAATCTCAGGCCCCCAAACGGCTTTTGCCACTGGGGGATTTAGACTCTTGACGTATCACTTGCGAACCGCTGGCTTCGGTAGCCGCGCGGCTAGGTCTCGATTGCTATGCTTTTGCTTCCACAGCTGAGGTCCTTATTCTAACCTCTATACTGGAGGACCTAGGTACCTGTTGCGACCAACCCACTAGACGGAAACTGAGCTGAGGAAGGAGCATGGTGACTTCGCAGCTTTGGACCTCCGCCATCAGCGCCTGCGAAAGTTGGCCGCTGGCGCTGCGTCTCTTCCGCCGAATGCCCCCGGCGTTCCAGGCGCGTCGTAAGCGGCGTGGTAAACGACGCGTCTGGGGGAGATGGCGTCTGCCTGGTTTATAGGGAGCTCACCGGTTCGGGGGTATAACGAGCTCACCGTGATAACGGTCCTTTACTAGGGGGTTCCTGAATTCAGCCTGTTGAATTTCAGTAACATGTGCAGATGACTTGTCGAGATATACGACCCCCTGTGACTACCTTGAAATAGCATAGTTTAAAAGCGGCCTCGGCCAAAGTGAAGTCCCATGGGACGGTGTCGTGGTCTATGTGGGGTAGGGTTGTTGGAGCGAGCGAGGCGGAAGGCTCAGTGAGATTTGGGGAGGTTGTGCATGTTCTCGGTAAGTTCCACAGTAATACGCCGGCTCTGCGTTCCCTTGCAAGCAAGTCCTGTGCTTCAAGTCGAGTGGCGCCAGAACATCGAAATCTTGGAGCGAGGGAGTGAGGCCACAACCAATTTCAGCACTCCGCAAGTTTATGCTTCGCAGCGAATTCCGGCGTAGCAGCCCACAAACTCCTCCCTGCTTTCCGCGCTCAGAGCTGTGTCACCTAAAGGGAACCCCTTGGTTTGCTTTAGGTTCACTCATGCCTGAAACCGTCCCAAGAGCACCCTGCTTTGGCCTGGGCCAAACTTGCATGGAGCTTCCCAAACCTTTTGTGGTAGGTGTTCCCCCATCTCAGCTTGTTTTGTGCCATTTTACATGTATGCATGGAAAAAGCTGCGCGAAGATGCTGACCATTCCATACGTCCTCCATGATTACCAAAGGAAGGTCGCAAAAACGAATGTCATGCTACCACCCAACTAGCGCGAGCCCACTCCAGGAGTTGACATGGACACGAGTTCGCACAGGGGTTCCACAGTAAATGCCGTCTCACAGCACGCTTGAGGTGCCATGGTTTTCTGCGGGCCGGGGGGCTGAACATGCAGGACCTTTTGCCATACACTTTCTCATGAGTGAACAAGGTTCCCAATATGTCCGGTAGGCGATAGGGGTCCAACGCAAAGGGAAATACTTGAAGGGAATCTCAAAAGTCGACACCCAAACCACAAGAACAGATCTTGGCAGTTCCCAGGCGTCCCCTTAGATTTTTTGGTTGTTTAGGCTTTAGTGGTGGGTTTCCATACGCCCAAAAGTGATTCACGTTCAGCAGGTCAGAAAACGGACCGCCGAGACATAGATATTTTCATGGCGTCGCTACCTCTACGGTGCCTCTGCTTTCCACTTTTTTTTGGTCGAAACCTTCGCTTCACCTCTCATCATTTTTTTTTTATTTTTTATGGGACCCCAGGTGTTCAACATGCGTCCAAGAAGGAGCTGTCGTTTTTACATGGTTCTCTCAGAGTAGTTTTTGGGAGGCGCCGGAGAACGTAATGGCCACCATCAGCGCTTGTACCACTTCCCTTGCCTGGGACCAGGTGGGGAAACGGCTCGGGAGGGGTTGGAAGCAACTGGGCATGTGTCAAAATTGGTTTCCAAAACCAAGAAACAAACAGGTGTTGTTTGTGTTTTTGTTATTGTTTTGTTTGTGTGTGTTTTTGTTGTGTCTTTTTTTTGGGGGGGGTCCACGGTCCCCTTGAGTCGACCTGAACTGGGCACCCTGAAACGGACACAACCAACTTTCGATGTTCGATGCTAACCTCGAAGTGGGAGGATTCGTCATGCTGGAACTCGTGAAGCAATGTAGTGGGCCAGTCCAATACGCGGAAATACTACGTAAAATTCGCCCGCTTCGCCTTACCTTGTGGTCGGCGTCTCGGTGTCGGGTTCTTTTTCGGTCTTGCCGTGTCGTTGGCCACACGCCTAGGTCCGAGACTTTGCCTTTGTAGTAAGTGGGAACAAACAAAAATGCTGGATGTCTCGCTGCGTCTGGCTTCGCATGGATGGGAGATCCTAAAACCAAGCGCCAAGGGTCTCAGATTGTGGCCTCAAGCCACGCGACACGCGCGAAGCTTACCCCCGCCACCAATTAACCTGGAGCCTGACAGGGACCCGCTCCCTTCAAAAGGGAAAATGGTCCAAGCCAGGACCTTCCCAACGTCGAACGGGTTCCATGTTTTTTGGGCTGTTTCATTTACAGCGTATGTAGGTTCCCCAGTGGTGCCCTTTTACCCCTTTTTTTGGTGGAGGGTTCCCCTACTAAAATAGACGACAGAGAAGAATAATCGGGAACCCTTATTCTATTCTCTCTACTGGAGGAGAGTGCAGGGCCTTGAGCTCCAACCGAAGGCTCCGGAGGGTTTTTGGCCAATGACGGGTATCGGAGGCTGCCCTGTGGCGGGAGACCATCCACCCATCCGTCCGTCCGTCCGTCCATCCATCCCACTGTGTGTGTTAAAGGGAAGCTATAATCGGAAAGCAATAATGCATGTTTTCCAGGGTCCCGCTCACAACTACAGCAAGCGGCAGACCAACGCAGAGCCACTTGAAGACACTGGCGACATGAGTGTGTGACATGTGGCTGTGGCTCAAAAATAGGCACCTCAAATTGGGACTCATGGACTAAAATTGCCTCAGACTGGTGGCTTCATTTTGCCCCATGCCCACATTGGAGCCCCGTTTGCTCTATGGACGACACTGGCACGAAAGCAAGGTCATCGCCGGCAGCAATTCATTCGGACTGGGATCGGTCGGTCAAAAGCTGGAGCCAGGGGGTCGGAGGATTCAAAAGTAGAAGAACTAGAGTTTGGAGCACGCAATACTTCCCCCTTCCCTCTTCCTCTCTTTGGTGTTCTCTTTATGTGTTTGTCTTGTTTGTCTTCTTGTTATTTGTTCTTTTGTTGTTTCTTTTTATTTATCTTTTTACTTGTCTTTATCATGTTGTTTATGTTGATTTTCTCCGTCTCTTTAGCTTTCTATTTATATATGTTTGGTTAGTTTGTTATTATGTTTCTTTGTATTGACATCATTCTATTATGTGTTTGTTATCTGGTTCTTTCTCGTTGTGTTTATCCTTATCCGAATCTTTCCCTTTTGTTCTACTATATCTTCATCTACCTCCGTCTCTGCCTTTGTATCTGTTTGTTTCGCTCTTGTATGTTTAGCTTCTTCCTTATCCACATGATATATATATATATATTTGTTTATCTTGTTAGAATTTATTCTTATTATACTCATATGTATCTTGATTTTTCATCTTTCTTATGTTTATTATTCCGTCTCTTTCTCTTCATATTTATCTGTATACTTATCCTTGTCTCTCTGTTTATCGATTGTTTTTCTTTCTCTTTGTCAAGGAACACAGTGAAACTTCCGGGCACCAGGTGTCTACGGCCAGTTTCTCTTTCCTCTCTCCCTGCTCACTTCCTGAGTCCATGAACTTTAAACTTTTTGAAAAGACCGTTCTTGGTAATAATAAAAAATGGCTACTTTTTTTGGGCCATCTACTCAGCCCGTGAGCCTCTCTCTCCTCACGCGCCCGGGGGGCTTGGGAAAGCGCGCGCGGGTTTGAGCGCCGCAGGCCTTGGCGCTGCTCACGCCGGAGGCGCCGGGGAGCCAGGTGGGCGCAGTGGCCGCGGCGCTGATGCGACTCAGCCGCGCCTCGGGCGGGGAGCGGCCGAAGCGGCGGAGGGCGGAGTTCGTTGTCGCCCCGGGGGGATCGGGGGGATTTTTTTTGGGGGGAGGTTTTTCCAGCTAGGTGCCCACTTTTCTACCCCATTTTTGGGTGGTGCCAACTTTTCTCCCCCATTTTTTGGTTGGGAGGGTCCGGGGTTCCCCTACAAAACGGAAAGAAAGAAAGGGTACCAACTTATTGGAACCTCTCTAGTCAAAGCTAGTGGAACCCATCAGTTTCTAGCCAAACAAGCCCACTCACTTCCGAGTTCTTGGACTTAAGTCACTTTTTGGGTTTGGACCATTTCAGTGATAAACTGAAAAAGTTATGGACTCTCTTTCTGGTCACCTACTCAGAAAGGCTGGAGGTGGGGGGTCCTTCGACATGTTTTTTTGCTTGAAACAGTGGGATTTTCCAGAGGAGACCACGGAAAGTTGAAGTTTTGGCAGAGGGGTCAACCGCATCCAAGACCAAATGAATGGGTGGCAACTCGTTTGTCCCTCCAAGCCATTTGTGTATGGACTTCTTCCACTTTCCGGCGAGCTCGGACATGTGCGGACTTTTGAGAACTAAGTGTGAGCTTCCAAAAAGGCTTGCCCTTCAAGCTTACAAGGATTCAGAAGCATGTTCTGGTTTCCACTGGGTTGGCAAAGTTGGCTTTGGCTGGAAGTCATCAGGGGTTCCTTAAAGCAGCCAGAACTCTACAGCAAGCTGGCCAGACCTCGACGTTATGTCAGGCAAGCTTCCAGTAGAATTCTCTCAGGTCACAAAAATAGTTGTTGTTTGTTCCTTTTTTTTCTTCTTTTTTTTCCGGATCCTTTGGGGCGAGATTTTTCCAGCGCCTTTTTTCAGGATCCGCGGCCGCCCGGGGCGTCCTGGCGCCTTTCCGTCGGACTTGGCACGCCGCCCACGGCCGCGACCCGGACCTCAGCGCGGTGCCCGGGCTGCTGGCGATCGGAGCTGGGATTCTGGCGGTGCAAAAGCCCGCGGGCGTCGCGACCGAGGCGGGCAACTCAGACGGGATTCAAAGCACTAAGAGAATGGGGGCTTAGAGAACAGGGCTCCTGAAAAGAGATACACATTTTGCGTAACCAGTTGAAACATGGCTGGCTTTTTCCACACCAAAATAAATAAAGGGAAACCATCATTTACAAGTTGCAATGTTCAGGTGTATAATGTAAGGACCCCTGTAGAACCACCATTGTTTACTTAAGCATTGTCATCATCCAAGTTGTGTCAGCCTTTCTTTCAAGGGTTGAATCCTAGACCCTTGGGTCACCCTCAAAACTCGGGCGGGCTGTTGGAAGTTAAGGGGCAATCCCAGCCAGAAATGGGTGTGGCCGCCTTCTTGATTTTTTACATGGCTCTGGGTAGAGCAATTTAATGCCGGGTTTTGATTATGACTCATGTAGGAGTGGGGGTGTTCTTACTTGGGAGGTGAGCCGTGCGACGCAAAGGTCGACCAAGCAAACACACACGCAACAACACATAGACCCAATCACCAAAAACCAAAGGTCACTAAAATGGTCGTACCCAAAGTCCAGGAACTCCGGGAGCGAGTCAGAGTTTCGCAGGTCTCCGCCAAGAAGTGCCGATTTGAGTTGAATCAAGGCGTTGAGCAAGGTCATTTCAATTGGTTCGCCTGGTTTCCCCTTGGTTGTTGTCTCGTTTTTGCTTGGTTTTCGTTCGTATACATCTTTTTTCCCTGGTTTTCCATTGGCTCCCTTGAGTTTGTCAGGTGCCCCCTCACCCTCATGAATAGGCGGTGCTGGACCAGATTTCTCAGCTTCTTGCCCGTGATTGCTCCCTGGTCTCACGCCTGGATTCTTGGCTCATTCGCGCCTTCCTTGCCGAGGTTTGGTTTTTTCCTCACACGCCCAGGGCTCGGGCTTTGGGCACTGTTTGGGGGTGGTTGGACCAGTTGAGTGGTACCGAAAAAGTTGGGGGACTTTCTCTGGCCAGTGAACTCAGGAAGTGAGCCTCTAGGGTCGAATTTAGGGTTGTGCAAGCTCCATTTTAGCGGTGGCGTGTCTAGCAACAATTACACACACTGCTTTGCAAGGGGCGTGTTGGTGTAGATAATGGCCGATGTACCATCTAAGTGGGTATGCGTCAATTTTTACACCACCAAGGAGCCGCAGGTTTTAGTCCGTGTTTCCCTTTTGCCAGGGTTCCATTTTGGGCACCTTTGACCAGAAGCCAGCGCAAGGCTGTTGTAGCTCCTTCTTTGCGTCCTCTAAAAAGCAACGGGGCTCTTTTTTTTGCTTGAAAAGCAAGGAACACCTTGATCCGCTCGGATTTGGGGAGCTCTGATCAGCATCATTGACTTAAGCTGCTTCGCTTCCATGTGCTGAAGGAAAAGCACTTTTCATGTTCCCTTGTTGGTTTTAAAGGGGCTTTCTCACGACAGGACATATGTTTATTTTCCAGGGAACAACAAAGCAAATGGAAGTTCGGGAAGACGCGACGAGAGAAACCGAATTGACCCAGAGATCAAGGCTAGCGAGCCCCCCACCGCGCCACAAGCATTCCTGTGGTGGCGCAAGTCTGTGTGTTCCATTTCCACGTCCATTCCCTTTCCATTTTGTCGACATGTCACGTCTTTGTCCCTGCCGTGTGAAAACTAGACCACGGTTGGCCCGAAAGCAGAACATCGCAAGCGAGGTCGGCCCAACGCTGCAGGATGCGTTCTTTTTCCCTACACGAAGCATTTGTGAAGCAAGCGCGAGACAGCACCAGGCAAGGTGCTCTGCGCAAACTGGTCGGTGCAAGTTGGTCTGCGCAAGTTGCTCTACGCAAGTTGCACTGTGCAAGTTGCTCTGCGCAAGTTGCTCCGCGCAAGTTGCTCCGGCAAGTTGGTCCCTGCAAGTGGCTCCCTGCAAGTTGCTCTGTGCAAATTGCGCTCCCTGCAAGTTGCTCTGTGCAAGCTGCTCTGTGCAAGTTGCTCTGTGCAAGTTGCTCTGCGTAAGTTGCTCTGCGCAAGTTGCTCTAGGCAAGGCGCTCTGCGCAAACTGGTCGGTGCAAGTTGGTCTGCGCAAGTTGCTCTGTGCAACTTGCTCTGCGCAAGTTGCTCTGCGCAAGTTGCTTTAAAATGCAAGTTGCATCTTGCGACGCCCGCCCGCGGACCAGGGAGGAATCGAACCCGCGACCCGCCGGTTCCGGGAGCAGGCGCGCGAACCACGAGACAACTCCCGAGGACCAGTTCGAACAACAAAAGTCGCAAAAAACCTCGAGTTTTTGCACCTCGACCACGCCGATCCCCGCAGAGGGTTGCGCGAGCACCGCAGAAATCGCAAAAAACCTCGAGTTTTTGCACCTCGACCACGCCGATCCCCGCAGAGGGTCGCGCGAGCAGGTTAAACATCGCAAAAAACCATGGGTTTTTGCACCTCGACCACGCCGATCCCCGCAGAGGGTCGCGCGGGAAGAAATCGCAAAAAACCATGGGTTTTTGCACCTCGACCACGCCGATCCCCGCAGAGGGTCGCGCGAGCAAGAAATCGCAAAAAACCATGGGTTTTTGCACCTCGACCACGCCGATCCCCGCAGAGGGTCGCGCGAGCAGGTTAGAAATCGCAAAAAACCATGGGTTTTTGCACCTCGACCACGCCGATCCCCGCAGAGGGTCGATTTTCGTGTAGTGTCGTCGGCACTACCCCGCCGCCCTAAGAAGAGATTTTAACTCCTCGCAAGTCAATTGCACTTGACTCCTTGCACTTGCAACTTGCACTTGACTCCTTGCTTGTTTCAAGGAGTCATTGCAAGGAGCCATTGCAAAGAGTCATTGCAAGGAGTCATGGCAAGAATTCATTGCAAGCAGTCATTGCAAGGAGTCATTGCAAGGAGTCATTGCAAGGAGTCATTGCAAGGAGTCATTGCAAGGAGTCATGAGAGCCATTGCAAGTTGCAAGGAGCCAAGTGCATGGAGTCAAGTGCAAGTCGCAAGTGCACGGAGTTAAGTGCAAGTTGCAAGTGCAAGGGGCCAAGTGCAAGGAGCCAAGTGCAAGGAGCCAAGTGCATGGAGTCAAGTGCAAGTTGCAAGTGCATGGAGTCAAGTGCAAGTTGCAAGTGCAAGGAGTCAAGTGCAAGTTGCAAGTGCAAGGAGTCAAGTGCAAGTTGCAATCCTTGCCATGACTCCTTGCAATGACTCCTTGCAATGACTCCTTGCAATGACTCCTTGCAATGACTCCTTGCAATGACTCCTTGCAATGACTCCTTGCAACTGCAATGACTCCTTGCAATGCACTCCTTGCAATGACTCCTTGCAATGACTCCTTGCAATGACTCCTTGCAATGACTCCTTGCAATGACTCCTTGCAATGACTCCTTGCAATGACTCCTTGCAATGACTCCTTGCAATGACTCCTTGCAATGACTCCTTGCAATGACTCCTTGCAATGACTCCTTGCAATGACTTTCATGATGATGATTCCTTGCAATGACACCTTGTAATGACTCTCATGAGAACAACTCAAGTGAACCCAGCGGAAGAACCCTTCGCCATGCTTTCGGGAAAAACACGACTCGAATCTGTTCAAACAAATCTAACCCTCCAGGCCCAGAAATTTTCTGTTCAGATTCACGGCATGGTGCGCCTCTTGGCGAATCGCTGGACTGGCGGCTGGCGTCTCCATCTCGCGGAACTGGTGGCCAAAGGGCCCTTTGGAGGGCCCTCTCCAAGGAATTGTCTGGACTTGGACCATTTTTAATATGAAAGCGGGTTTCAGGTTTTGTGTTTTAGTTTTTTTTTTTCTGTTTTTGTTTCTTTTTTCTTTTCTTTAAACAAATGAAAGTTGTTTCTTTTTGTTTAATGACAGCTTGCTTGCCATTTAGTGGAAGTGGGTTTCTGAGCATCCGCATTCGGCCATTGTTGCGCCAGCCTGGAAAAAAGAGTTCCAGGGCTACCGAAAGCCGTGTCCAACGCCTACCGAATCTTTCGTGGGTCGATCAACGGTTCGACTGCTTTCAAAGATATGGAGCGCCTTTAAACACAAATCACTACCCCCTTAATCCTTGATTTGGGAACGTCAAAATGTAATTCTACCTTTTCCTTAAGGGGGTGGTGATAAACATCACTTGTAGCTTAGCCGTGCAGCCGCTTTTGTGCTGCTAGAAAACCCGCGCGGAAGTGGGGCCGCCGGCCAACCCCCTCGCGTTTTGCGGAGGATCAGCCCACCTCCGGCGTGCTGCCGGTGGTCTTAGACCACGCGGACTCCGCGGCGGCCAGTTGGTTCCAAGCCACCTTCGCCAGCAGACTGGCGGAGAAGGAGCCGCCCAGCTTTGACGTTGGGTCTGTTAAGTTTCCAGGTGCCTGAGAGGGTTCCCCATACATAGACGTCCTGAAAAAAGTGGGTGCCAACTTATTCTCACCTCTCCACTGGAGGACCTAGTGGTTCTCATTGGCCATGTCAGGTCCCCACCCCCCGAAAAACGAAAATGGAAAGGGAATTTTGACCCCTGGAGATCTCCATTTGTGGAATTCCATTTTCGTAAGACTAGATAAATGGGATTGGGGGACCCCCCAACCCCCTCGGGGTTATGGAAGGGGGGATGTTTCACGTTTTTGGTTCTTGGCCATTTTCACAGGTATCGCGGCCTGGGCATCCCACGAAGGTCTTAAATTATGGTTTGCTCGGGTGGGAATGGGGAGGGCCCAGGTGGCAGGTTTCTTTCGCGCGCACCTCAAGCCCGATTTGATCTCAAGCCTGTACTGGGTTTTGTGGTGTGGCTTCATGGTGGCTGAGCGTTTGCAGCTGCTGCCAGTGCTGCGCGGTGAAACCCCGCAGACATCCGTCTGAGAGTCCTTTCTTGTTCTTGAGTTAATGCTCATAAACTTCTCCGAGATGGTCTGATTGGTCTGGGGTCATGTTGCCCACCAATCGAAGCCATGCATCAGTGCTGCGCCTTTGGTTGGGTAAACGCAGTAGCCATTTGTGAAACAGAAAGAGGACCATCGTCAAGGTGACGCCTGCTTTGGATAGGCCGAACTTTGTATCCATCTTTTTGGGGATCCTTAATTGAGCCACATTCTCAAAACCCAAGATCCGCCTTTCTTCTTATATATTCTTGCATGGTTCTGGGTCAACCATTTTATACCGGGTTTTGATTGTGACTTAATTACAGGTGGAGTTTCGAGCTGCCGAAAATGGCTGCGGGTTTTCACAGCGTTCCCCCCCACTGCAACTTGGCTTCCCTCTAGCTGGTTGGTATTGGTGGTCTGTTTCCCAGGCATTCAGGTCCAAATCCAAACCAGAAATCCAAACAGGCACTGGAAGAATGCAAAGGGGCAACTGCCAACCGGCCTCCTGAATGCGTCTCTAGGGCGGGTCTTCAGCCACTGACCAACTTGGGAATTTGCTCGGTTGGCGATGAATGCGGTCCGGCGGCTCCACTATCACAAGACATATCCGTCTGCAACTCTCGAAGCTTCTCACTTCCTGAGTTCCGTTTTCTCAGCTGGTAATCAAAGTCAACCAAGAACTCACGCTGCCAATCACCGACCAATTTGACTTGCATCTTGAGTCACTGTTGGGTTTGGACTCTTTTGGTGGTAAAAACACAAAGTTTGCACTTGTCCTGACCAATCAACTCAAGTGAGAAACTGTCCCCAAAGTGTTGGCCTTTCTTCTGGGCGTAGAAGCCTTCTGACGTGATCGTATCAGCCGCAAAATGTCAGCTAGGTCATTCGTGTCATTCGTGCAGATGGGCATGTCTAATTTTTGAGGGTACCCCATGTTTGTGCTTTGAAAGGGAAACCAAAAGGAAAATCACATTTTTGGGGGGCCCCTGACAAAAGGACCACTCTATTTTGGGACCTTTCAGAAAACAAAACACAACATTTTGGGGAGCTTTCAGACCAAAAAGACACCCGTATACGCATGGTGCGAGGGCCAAGGCGCGAACCCGCCGCTTGGCTCCGAGGTACTTCTGCCTCTGCGAGGGCTTCGTGGGACCGGTGGGCACGCGCGCCTGCGATGCTCGGAGCAAGCGTTGCCGTAAGGCGGCGCCGTAAGGTTGGCCCCGGAGTAACAAACCTGTCCTATTCATACGGGGGCGTTGATGATTCCCCACATTTCGCTCCTCCAGAAGCGATGATCCCCTTAACCAAGGGACATGTCCACATTACGCTCTCAACGTGGAAGCTCCCAGACGGCATGTCTTAAGGCTAGGTCCCCCAGCCAAGTGCCCTTTTTAACCTCTTTTTTGGGGGAGGGTTCCCCTACTAAAATGGAACTAAAAGAAAAAAGGGCACCCTTAGTCAAACGTCTCTACTGGAGGACCTAGTTACACTCCCAACGTGGAAGCTCCCAGAAGGCATTGTGAATCATAACGACCTCACACGACCTCACCCCAAATGATGGTTTATGCGGGGAATAGACCCCCAAATTGTGGTTTACGAGAGGGAAAGCTCCCCAACCACCGTATTTCAGGCATGTCACCAAGTCTTTAGGGGTCTTTGGAGCTGGCATGGAAGTGCCGGAATAACCCCTAATCATACAGTTTTTCCCCTCCAAAAGTGATGCCTTTGCACATTTCACCCAGGACATAGATGACCCCCAATCAACCCAGGGACACCCGCCTATTGATAAACTAAGGTTTGTTAATCTGGGGATAGCGTTGTGGACAGTTCCTTTGACACGGGGTTTCTGTGATATCTTTCCAGTTCTTGGCATGTCTGTTTTTGGTTGTTTGGGCCTCTTCAGTTCTAGCAGGCTGCAAAAAGCATGGCATTGTTGCTACCAAGGGCTGGAAAGATACAAGGCTTTCCAGTAGTGCCCTTTTACCCTTTTTTGAAGGGGAGGGTTCCCCTACGACAAAAAGACTACAGAGAAAGGGTACCCTTAATACTAACCCCTCCCCTGGACCTAGGATGTGTAGGGCTCTGAGGCGCATTTTGCCAAGGGATGTTAGGACTTCAACTTTTTGCCAACTATTGGGTTTTCCGTATTAAGCCGCTAAAAGTAAAACACTTTTAGCAGGGGAGCAGAAAGCAACCGAGCGAAAACATGCCCGGTGAGGTGGACCTTCCTTTGGCCACCCGCCACTTCGAGGGCGGCGTCCTCTCGGAAGTCGCGGAAGCTTCGCCCCGGGCCCGGGACGCGCGGACGGAGTACGAGGTGCTGCGGCGAATGGCTCAGGCGAACGCGGGACGCGGCTCTTCGCGAGCGAGCAGCCGAGAGGTTTCTGGTTTCTGCTTCCATTTCTCTAAGGGATTTCAAGTTTTTCTGGTTTCTGCTTCCATCTGTTTTCCATAACCAAAAAGGACACCTACTGTGGATGGTTGCGAAATCCATTTCGCACCACTTTGAAGCTGTTAGAAACCATGGTTTGTTGATTTTTTACAGGGGAATTGTATGATTCCAGGGTTTCTCAGGTGGTGCAGGATTTTGTCCATCCACAGTAGGGACTTATGGGTTCTGGGCAGAGTTGATGTCCAGCTTCCGATGCTTCAGGATGGCCACAAAGTCAAGGACTGCACCTTTGATAAAACACAATGTGTATACTTGACAGGGGGAGCCATCTTTGATTACCTCATTGCATTGATTTACATTCTGAAGTGCATATCATAAATGAGGGACCTACATTCTTGAGACCAATGCTGCAATGGACTTTGAACAACTTGAAACGCTTGTTTTTCGAGCTCAACTTCATCGATGTTGTTTGCAGGTGCTAGGCAGGCCGATTGCGCAATGACTCTTGTGCTATTTTGCTTCCTGTTCGATGCATGTTGGCAGGGCCACAGTTCTAGTGCATCACTATCACGCCCATCTAGGTCCCTCAGTAGTGCCCTTTTACCCTTTTTTGGGGGAGGGTCCCCCTGCTAAAATAGACATCAAAGAAAAAATCGGGTACCCTTACTCTATGCTCTCCACTGGAGGACCCAGCCAAATGATTCCTGCAACCAGTTGCTTGGCAAATGCGGGGTGTTCTGCAGGCATGAGCAGGCATGGGGCGTGACCGGGATGCATGGCGGCAGCCTTGGCGCACTCAGCCGGGTTCCCTTGAGCGCATAGAGCCCCAAAAGCACCCAATGTCGGCATCTCCGGCGGTTGTTTTGTGTTTTCCTTTTTTTGGGGGGGTTCTTTTTCTTTCTTTCTTTTTTGGGGGGGTCAACCCCCCAAGAAAGAAACAAAAGGACGGTGTTTGTTTTGCCCCTCTTGTACCGAGTTTCCGTGAGTCGTCTGTGCCAGGGTGAGCAAGAATTCGCGCTTCTGCGCGTCCACCCGGTCACCGGCAGGACTCATCAGACCCTTGGCCCCAGCTGCGCGGGGGTCAGTTCGGCCCCAGGTTTCATGAGTTTTGAGGCACTTGTTTGGGGTTTTGGGCGATTTGTGTCCCCAGGCTCATGGCCTTGAGGCACTTGTTCGCGGTTTACGGACCCTTTGGCCAATCCCACGGATGTGAGCTCATTTTTTGACGGATGTGTTGAGAAATCATCAGTCAGAGGAAGCCACACAGTGCTTGAGGAAACTGCCTGTGAACCACCCAGGTGCCGAATTCCTATGCATACGATCCTTTTGAACAAACCCACAAGTAGAGAAGCATCAGGCCGCAGATGGATGTTTTTAATCAATGTAATTACATGGTTTGACCCGGGGACGGTGCAGTATGTTGTTAACCCCAGACAACTTTGAAAGCCATTTATTGAACATATCATATATATATATATATAGTGTATGCTTCTGTGAACGGAAGCTCAAACTGGAAGACTAGCACCCCTCCACAATGCCTTTACATCAGGGCCTAGTCTTCAACAGATGGATATTTCGCAAAAGGTGCAAAACAGAAATCCACTGCAAAGTGACATGTGTTGCCCTTCCCTTGCCTGAAAAATCCGCCCAGTTGCCCAGCGGTGCCCCCTTTTTTTCCCCTTTTTTTGGGGGCAAGGGCGCCGATTCTTTTTCCGAGCACCAAAAAAGAGCGGCCGCTTCTTTTTTCCGCACTGGGCATCTGAGGCTCCGATAAAATCCGGCCTCAGGATCCGCGTTCACTTGGCTCATTTGGGCCATCCGTTGGTGGGGGACCGCACCTACGGCGCGTCCGCGGCGAATGCTCCGCGGCTCTTCCTCCACTGCCACCAGCTGAGCTTCGAGGACCTGGCAGGGGACACGCGCCTCGCCTCCAGCTACGTGCCATTTTTTTCCAACTTTTTTGGTCGGGAGGGTTCCCCTACAAAAAAGGGACCAAAAAACAAAGTTGGTACCCTTGTTCTAGCCTCTCTACTGGAGGACCTGGCAGGTTGCTTTGGTCAATATGGTCAAGGGTTGCATGTATGAAAGTCAGGCCATACTGTGGATGGTTGCGAAGTCGAAGTTCGTTCCGCACCACCTAATTAAGAAACCCCGGTTTCCGATTCGATTCCACCGTAAAGATACCAACAAACATTATGGTTTCCGGTGCATTTCTCCCGTATAAAAGTCAAGATGGCGAAAGGGTGGGTCCATATGGTCCAGGTTGTTCCATGAACAAGTCCAGGTCGGCCAACGACCTATGATTTCCGAGGTCCTTTGGGAGGGTCACATCAAACCTGCCGATGACCCCTTTCATTGAGCTCAACAATGAAGTCGCAAACGCCCCGTTCGGGGGCGGTTGAGTTAAGCGGTCGCTTCAAGGGGGTCTTTTTGCCGGCTCTCGTGGAAAAATGGTCGACCCCCTCGTTGTGAAGGATTCCTGTTTGATGGGGTCGCCCATTTTCTCGCAAAAGGTGGCAGAAAGACTCCCTGCGTCTCTTAGGGAGGGAACCGGTGGGCCCATGCCGCTTATTCGCCTTTGGGGCCTTTGGGTGCCTAAAGCATTCTACCGGATATCCGTCATGTTGCTTCACTTCTGCAGGTTTGGGGATGGCAAGAATTTGGGAGTCGCAAGCATGGAAATCAGGGACCTTTCTGGGACAGTTGTCACAGGACACCAAAAGGGCATGTCAATTATTTCGACACCGTTTCTTCTTGAAAACAAGGGAAGCCAAAAGCAGAAAAACCAATTTTGAGGGGTGTAACTTCCAAAAGGAAAGCTCAAAAAGAAAGCTCAAAAAGAAAGCCCCAAGGGGTCCAACCTTAGAAGACGCCCAAAAAGGAAGCCGAAGATTTGGGACATCTTAGGAACTTGGCGCTGTTCGGATTCTTTGGGCCTGGGGGACAACCAAAAAACTTCCCAGAATTAGCTCCTTTTTTTTAAAGAAATAAGAACAACTTTTTGGGGGTCCCTTTGTTTTCCACTAACCAGGCAAAAAAATGATATATATATTTTCGCTGCGGTCTTACTTCCAGCCAAGAAAAATCGCGGGGACACACCGAAAACCGCGGCGTGAGGTTTCGGGCCGTGGCCCCGCTGCCCAGCGAGCTGCAAGATGTGCTGACAAGCCTCACGGAAAACCGAAGCGAGCGGATCAAAAGAAGCGGGCGAAGTGGGAGAGGGGCACTGCCCCTTGGAGGGCTCAGCCTCGGGAAATTTGCCATCGCCTCCCTTTTTGGGTTTTGACTTGAGCGGCAAGCAAGTTGTTGGCTTTTTTTTTGGCGGTAGGCCAGTGAAATGGACCAAAACGCTCACTCCCCGAGGACGCAAAAACACGTTTGGGGAATACCTGTTTGGGAGACACCAAATTGAATAGTGGGGTGGGGGACTCATTTTTCAAGTAAGGGCTGGGGACTCATGGTTGTTGTTGGGAAACATGTTTTCCATTTTTGCTTATTGTGATTTAGTGGTTGAAATCCAACCACTGAACTGCAAACAATTCAATTTTTGCTCCCCTTCCAACGTCAACCATGCAATGTCCCTGGAGGTTTTCACTCCCTGAGCGAAATGGACCTTCGCCTACGTGCCCCAGCAGCCCTTTCACCAACTTTTTTTGGGGAGGGTTCCCCTACTAAAAAAAAGAAAAAGGTTCCCTTATACTGGAGGACCTAGGAGTGAAATGGATCTTAGCTCACTCCCTGAGGACGTTACACTTTCGGGGAATATCAGTTTAGTGGTAAATGAAAAGCTCAAGCTTGTCAACTCAGGAAGTGACGGAGTCTCACTTTTGGGGTTTTGACTGGTGGCAAACGACTTGTTTGCCTTTTGTGGGCCAAAACTGAGAAGCCATCCGCAACTGTTTTGCCCCTTGAAAGACTTGTGGCCAGATGGGATTGCTCAACAAGCATGGCCCCGAATTGCCGCAGTTGTTTTGTTTTTTACATAGAAGTTTGTCCCGATGTCCAAGACGGGGCCAGTCACGTTGGGAACCAATTCACCACCCCCCAATCACACGCTTTTGCCGGCGGACATGCTGTTTTATCTTCTTCTTTTTTTGTTCCGTTTCTTTTTGCCATGTATCGAGTCGCCGCGTTTTTTTTGCTCCTGTGATGGCCGCCAGGCAGATGCAGCGAGACGAGAACTCTGCAGGTTGGAAGCCGGGAACATGTCCGAGGCGCGCGGCGCGCGGAACGGAAAATAAAATCGTGGGCGTGTGCCACACCGAGCTGAACGGCCGATTCGATTTTGATTTTTTAGTTGTGTTTTTTGGTTTAATCCCCCTAGAAACGAAATTCGGGAAGGGGGTTAACTGGAGCTCTCCAGTTCTTGTTTATTCTGGTTCCATTTTCCCTCTTAAATTGGGGGACCTTTATTTTTTGAGGTAGGTGGAAGCAGCTGCTTTACACAGGGCTCGCGGAAGACTACAATTTAGAGGCGTAGGCCTTTTCTTCCCCACTTGAAAGCTATGGGGTGAATCGGCCCAGATAGGCGACATGGTTTGGGACAGCTTTCAGGTTGCAAGGGAGATTCGGTTCCAGGGGGTTCGCTCTGGGCGGTGATTTTCTTGATGGGAGCCCCGCAACATGGATTGCGTGTTGATCAAGGTCAAGAGTTGCCCCTAGCCAGATTCGCTCGCTGCAAAGCGCATGGCAAGGGGTTTTGGGAGTTCACACCGCTGGGTGCGGTTCGGTTCTTTTAGCATTGAATTGAATCTCTCAGAATTGGTCGATTCGGTTTTGGTCGATTCGGTTCCGGTTCGGATTGTGTTAGTTCGGGCCCCTGCAAACATGGATTGCGTGTTGATCAAGGTCAAGAGTTGCCCCTAGCCAGATTCGCTCGCTGCAAAGCGCATGGCAAGGGGTTTTGGGAGTTCACACCGCTGGGTGCGGTTCGGTTCTTTTAGCATTGAATTGAATCTCTCAGAATTGGTCGATTCGGTTTTGGTCGATTCGGTTCCGGTTCGGATTGTGTTAGTTCGGGCCCCTGCAAACATGGATTGCGTGTTGATCAAGGTCAAGAGTTGCCCCTAGCCAGATTCGCTCGCTGCAAAGCGCATGGCAAGGGGTTTTGGGAGTTCACACCGCTGGGTGCGGTTCGGTTCTTTTAGCATTGAATTGAATCGATTCGGTTTTCATTCGGTTCCGGTTCGGATTGTGTTAGTTCGGGCCCCTGCAAACATGGATTGCGTGTTGATCAAGGTCAGCCAGATTCGATGGCGGTAGCATTGAATTGAATCTCTCAGAATTGGTCGATTCGGTTTTGGTCGATTCGGTTCCGGTTCGGATTGTGTTAGTTCGGGCCCCTGCAAACATGGATTGCGTGTTGATCAAGGTCAAGAGTTGCCCCTAGCCAGATTCGCTCGCTGCAAAGGGCATGGCAAGGGGTTTTGGGAGTTCACACCGCTGGGTGCGGTTCGGTTCTTTTAGCATTGAATTGAATCTCTCAGAATTGGTCGATTCGGTTTTGGTCGATTCGGTTCCGGTTCGGATTGTGTTAGTTCGGGCCCCTGCAAACATGGATTGCGTGTTGATCAAGGTCAAGAGTTGCCCCTAGCCAGATTCGCTCGCTGCAAAGCGCATGGCAAGGGGTTTTGGGAGTTCACACCGCTGGGTGCGGTTCGGTTCTTTTAGCATTGAATTGAATCTCTCAGAATTGGTCGATTCGGTTTTGGTCGATTCGGTTCCGGTTCGGATTGTGTTAGTTCGGGCCCCTGCAAACATGGATTGCGTGTTGATCAAGGTCAAGAGTTGCCCCTAGCCAGATTCGCTCGCTGCAAAGCGCATGGCAAGGGGTTTTGGGAGTTCACACCGCCGGGTGCGGTTCGGTTCTTTTAGCATGGAATTGAATCTCTCAGAATTGGTCGATTCGGTTTTGGTCGATTCGGTTCCGGTTCGGATTGTGTTAGTTCGGGCCCCTGCAAACATGGATTGCGTGTTGGTCAAGGTCAAGAGTTGCCCCTAGCCAGATTCACTCGCTGCAAAGCGCAAAGCGCAGGGGTTTTGGGAGCTCGCATCGCCGGTTGGAGTTCGCAATGCCCAGAGCAGAGCAATGCGATATGTCTGCTCTGTAAAACAACTTACCACACCGATGGAACCTGGCAGGCAGCCCCTTGAAAAGAAAAGGACCATTGCAGGTTCCATATTAATGTGTGGGAGGCTACCATGTGTTTTTTGTCCATTCTGTTTCGTGAACATTCCATAGGTTAATCAACGCACCCCGCGCTCCCTTTCATACCGAGCTCTGCTGCGAACGGCCTGTTTTTCAGCTTTGGGGAAAGCTCTGTATGGGTGTGTCTTGTTTTTGGTGTGCCCCCAAATGTTGGTGTTTGGTTTCCACAAGGCACCAACAACAAGGGTACATAAACTCAGGTCCTGGGCTGTAAGCGGGTTTTAAGGGTGGATTGATGTAGTTCACTTTGATTGACCCTTCGAGGTGGAGGAGATTCAACGTCGTCACGAGAGGGAGGTCTGGCAACTGCAGGAGCGTGCCCTCGCTATGACATGTGAGCCACAGTCGAAGTTTCCAGACCCTGGGTAGATTAAGGAAGGGACAGTTTGAACCAGAAGATTGGTGCGGCAGCCCTTTGAACTCTTTACATTTGGGTAAACCCTTTAAGAAACCGGGTTTGGGATCGCATTGGCTTCCGCGAGCGGAGGGGATGTGGACGCCGCAAGCTGGCTTTTGCTGCGTATCGCAGATTGGTTTCCGTTATGCGGATGCTCTGACAAGGGAGCGCACCAAAGCATGTCCTTTCATCATGGAAGGGGGGCTATCCCTTTTTAACCCCTAAGATCTTAGTAAGGGCTTATCCTAGGCTTATCCTAGGCTTCTGGGGATAGCTCCCCCCATAGCCCCTCTTAGGGGTCCATGATTTCAGGTTCCTCTCAAAGTGCCCTTGGATTCTTTGCTGAGAGAACTCTTGGACGCCGATTTGCCGATGTTCACCAAGCATTTGGATTTATTTATTTTTCCGCTACTGACAGCGTCGAGCAGACCCATCGAACAGATTAGCGAGTCTCTATGGTGTTCTTTTCCTTTCTGGAATTTCGTTTTTCAAACTCTCACCTTGAAGCTATTTTCGGTTTCCCAGCATTGCCTCACTGTATCAAAGTGCTTTTCTGTGAGAGAGGCTCTTACAGTTTCTCATCGAAGCCCCTTTTTCGCTCCTGTAGAGATACCTTCATGTGCGCTGACATGTGTCATAGCGGTCATAGCGATTTGGCTTTGGAACGTAGTCAGCAGGTCCGCGATGTTGTTCCCACTGAGGTATTCGCGAGATGCAAGCTGAAAAGGCCAACAAGGCGTGGGCAAATTGAAGAATCCGAACGTCTAAGATTGTTTCCACTGCCCAGCCACTGTCCCCAACAACTGCCCCCAAGAAATTCATGGGAGATGCAACCACGAAATAGCCATTGAACCAGTAAAGTCCAGCAGAGCTGGGGGAGGGGGGGGGAACTTTCACTCAAAGCCGTATTTTGGAACGTGCTTTGCTTGAGCTGTCCAGCGCATGCAAGGACGCCATTTTGTTTGTTCCTTTCCCTTCAAGCACTCAAGCCAGCTACATAATTTGGTAGCGGGCTGGCCGGTAGATAGATAGACTGCTTCTACTTCTTCGCTGGCTGGCTAGTTTGTTGGTTAGCCGATGGAACAACGCAAAACACCGAGATGTCAAAGGTCGGGTTCACCACTTGCTTGTAGTGCAGGTTGAAAGCATGCCGACGACGAGTTGTTGAAGGAGGTCCACCCCCGAAAGTCGTGCCAACAGTTCTGTTGCCAAACCTGCCCCGAC